CGGTGTTACACAAACACAAAGCATTAGCTCTGTTTGCTTTGTGTAGCGACGCAGGACTCACCCCTGTGGCGTGTCCTGGGAATTAGCTTATTTTCCAGCCTTGGAGCACCCTCTGCAGGCTGGTGTCCCGCTGCCGCTGGGCCCCCACGTCCCTCCCTGGACTCCGGTGCCCCGTTATCTGGGGTGCTGCCCCTGGCAGTAACCCCTCACTCTTAGGGTCTCCCCTCTCCAGGGAACCACCACCCCCTAACCCCACCTTGCCTCAGTCATAGGCTACTGCCGGTCACCAACTAGCCCCCACTCCCTGGGGCAGACTGCAGTATAAGCCACTCATCACAGGAAAGGTGGTTTTGGACCTGTTGCCTTTCCCTGCAACCTAGTACCTCTATGGGGCCTTAGACAAGGTCCTGCAGCCTGGGGAGTTGCCAGCCTGGAGCTCCTCTGGCCTTTCCCCAGCCCTGCCTTACTCTAGGTACCCTGAGCTTCCCAGCAGCCAGGCCCCTCTCTCTCTGAAAGCAGAGAGAGACTGTCTGCTCCCCAGTCCACTGCCCTCTTATAAGGGCCAGCTGTGGCCTGATTGGGGCGTGGCCTAGCTGTGGCTACTTCCCCATCAGCCCAGGTTTTCCCCTACCATGGCCCTCTCCCAGGGCTGTTTTAAGCTCTTCAGGGCAGGAGCAGGGTTACTGCCCTGCTACACGTTGGCATATAAAGAACCCATGCGGGACCGTGGACTCAACAAGACAGGGCACCGTTGTGCAGAAATTCACGCAGTTAAAGCACCGCAGCAGCGGTTGCCAGAATTCTTGTGCCACTGCTGCGGGGAAGCTCGCAGCAGAGTCAGATTGTTCAGTTTCTGAGCTGAACGAAGACAGCATTATTAGCGATGAGACCGAGAACCTGAGCGCTTGCTGAGCAGAACCTGTCAATGGCAGAGAAAGCAAGAAGGCCAAACGGAAGTCATTCGCTCCTAATTAAACAGCCATAAACATGGATTTGGACCAGCCTCAAACAAGAAGATAAATGAGACACAGCAGCTGCTTTTGACGCAATCTGCCGAGTAGGCAGTTAGGTTGCTGCCGGGGTCTCCAGAAGTGATTTGGTTTAAGGTTCTCGTGTTTATGGGCTCAGAAAAATGATGCTTATAAATAACGCTGGAGCGAGGCTGGAAGGAGACAACGAAGTCATAAATAAATCCCGGCGGTGGATTTCCCACGGGAATTTCAGCTGGGGTGATCTGAAGGAAAGAGCCGATCATGCCGAGAAAGCGACAGGGCTCCCACAGCTTATTTCTGATCATTCAGCCTTTAATTGCTTCCCCATGATACAAATATCTCGCCTTTATCCCTCTCCTCTGCCAGGTTCCACAAACAGGAATTGCCTCGCCCACCACTGAAATGCAGCCTCCTCTGGGGTGGCATGCAGCAGTAATTGACTGACACACGCACGCACACACGCACGCACACACACACACACTTCTGCAGAGGGAAGTGAAGAATACCACTTCCGGCTGAAATTGTTGACAAGCTTTTAGGGAGGCAGATGCCCAAAGTGGAATTTAGCCAGGGCATGGGAGTTAACATCCTGTAACTCTTGTAGAAGGGGGTCCAGGACTGTGTAAATAGCTATGAATGGTCAGGGTGGCTGGCTACCTACAAAGACAGTGTTGCCTAGTGGATATAGCACAGGTCTAGGACCAATGATACCTAGGTTCTAGTCCCAGGACAGCTGCTGGGTGATCTTGGGAAGTCATGTTACCTTGCTGTGCCTCAGTTTCTCCAGCTGTAAAATGGGGATAGTAATAGCTCACCCATAATAGGGGAGGGATAGCTCAGTGGTTTGAGCATTAGCCTGCTAAACCCAGGGTTGTGAGTTCAATCCTTGAGGGGGCCATTTAGGGAGCTGGGGCAAAATCAGTACTTGGTCCTGCTAGTGAAGGCAGGGGGCTGGATTCAATGACCTTTCAAGGTTCCTTCCAGTTCTAGGAGATGGGATAGCTCCATTAATTATAATTAACTGGTGTGGGACAATTAATTAGTTCATATCTAGTAATTTGCTGTATAAGTGCACTTGTTTTTAAATCTCCTAACCAAGCCCAATCTTCTTAGCTGGGGAAGGCTGCTCAAAATCCACGTCTGACACTGACCCATTTGACTCACCCACATATTAAAACCCTCTGGTGAGGTCAGCCTGAGCGTAAGACATGAATGGAGATTCCTACAGCCAGAGGACCAGATCCTCAGCAGGTGTCAATGGATCGAGCGCCACTGACTGCAGGGCTGCTAAGCTGATCTACACCAGGTAGGCCCTATGCTGATTTCCTGCAGCTGAGGATCAGGCCCTACGAGCTGAAAGCAGTTTCTCTAGCAGAGTCATTAAGGCCAGGGCTCTCCTTGCCTTCGCCGCTTTGAAAAATGACAGCTCCACCAATCGCTCGAGAGAGCCGTAAAAACGCTCCGAGGAGTCTATAAACAACGGGAAGCCAAGCCCGTTGGGAGCGATTATTTCCTAAACCGAGCGGCTCATACCCTCTGTGTCATAAATATCCCTTCACCGTGGCTGTATAAATAACCCCGAACGAGCAGCACAGTAAATAATCTTGGGACAATCATTCGTGCCAGGGAGCAGGCCTCGGCGCCCATGAAACATGCCTATGGGCACAGGCTCCCTCTCCCTATGGGGGCTTAGCTCCCTCTAGGAGGTGCTGAGGACCCATAACTCCAACGATGTCAATGCCCTGCTCGCACTGAAACAATCTGTCGCTTGGGCAGCAAGGAACTGACCTGATGGATCTTGCTGCAAGCGCCTGCCACTAGTGACTGACCGGAGACATCCAACCCACTGCGCTGTTCATGCCCTTCCTCCCACGGGCTGCAGTGCACCTCACTGGCTGTTGCTGGCATTCATGCGGCACTGCTCTGAGGAAGCTCGCAGCAGAGTCACGTTCAGTTTCGAGCCTAACAAAAGCAGCGTAGTAGAGATGAGGTGCTGAAAGCGTCCGTCATCCCAAAGTCAGTCCCCCCACTCCTCCTTTCTGCTCTGCATGGTCACGGGCAATCTTCCTCCACAAGCGTGCGCTGTTAAAAACCGTCTGGGAAGGGAGGGGTAGGAGAGGGAGTTGGCATAAGCACCAGGGAAGGCAGGATGAGGCCTGACTCGTGAGGTTTGCACCGTTGCGGTTGGCAGTGCTGAAACTGCCCCCTCACCCGCGTGGAGACCCAAACGCACCAGCCCGGCTGCAGCTGGGCATGGGAGTTACTGGGGTAAGTACGGGGTTAGCTGGGTGGAATTCTATGGCCAGCGGTATACAGGAGGCCAGATGAGATGACCTAATGCTCCCTTCTGGCCTTCAAATCCATGCCACGGTGCCATGCTGTACGTATGAAATCTGATCCCGAAGCAGCACGTTACCACCAGCATCCTCACCCCTGCACTCTGGGTAAGAGACTGGTGGAGCTGTGCCATGGAAGAGCCCTTGGTGTGTCTAGCGCCCCCCGCAGGGCCCACTGGGGTAATGCAGCACCCACTACTCAGGGCAATAAAAACCCCACGGCATGGAGTCCTGGAGCCCAGGGCAACTGACTTGGACTGTGGGGCTAGAAATCGCAGTGTAGCCATTCGGGCTGGGGCTGGACTCAGACCCACATGGGGTTTCAGAGCCTGGAGTTCCAGCCCAAGCCCATATGCAACTATGGGGTTTTTTTCTCTTTTATTAAGAACGGGAATTGACTTTTCTGTCTGTCAGTGTCCAGCATTTGAATAATAATCACTTCCCATCCATCCAGCAGGTTTCACTTCCTTAGCGTTCGGATATCGATGCCATTGCTTATCCAGGCGGCGACTCTTGCAGGAAACACGGAAGTCTGCCAATCCCGCATAAGGCCCCCTGTGACTCTCTCTCCGGTAGCGTGTGCAAATGGCCGATGGGTGCAAAAAAAATGGGGAAGGGTGCAGAGGCTCGTGAATCAAGGGGGTCTTCCTCATTCCGGGGGAATGGGGCTGCTCGAGATCCCGGCAAGGTCAGAAAGCCAACAGCTGCCTGCAGCAGCGTCACATGAGCTCGGCTCATGTGGAGCAGGGGGTTGCGTGCACATCTGTCAGCTGGGGCGAAGCAGCAGTGCTGGGGCTGGAAGGCTTTTGCTCTCAGCGATGGATTGCAGACATCTGCCCCTGTTTGCAGTGCTTTCTAGGGGGGCTTTTCATTGCTGGTTGTTTTGAAGTGGAAGTTTGCAGGGGAAAGAAAATGGAGAGGGACGAGTGGCTTTGGGGGAAGCCACAATGCAACTGGGGCCTGGGTTTATTCTGGTGGAGATCACTAGCTATGCTTAAGGTAGGTCTACACTGCAATCAAAGGGCTGCTGGCTGGCCCTTGTCAGCTGACTTGGACTCACAGGGCTTGGGCTGCCGGGCTAAAAGGTGCAGTTAAAATTAAGTAAAATGTGTTTTTAGTGGAGTGAAAACCAATTGACTAAAATAGAGCAGGTAACGGCCATAACAGTGGCTGTTAAATAAAATCTGCTCACTTTCTGTATCTCTACTAAAGAGGGTACAAAGTAAACACGTGTGTTGCTGATATCTGCGTTAAGGCTCCAAAACTGATAACTCAAGGTTTGGGATTGGGAATATCTTGCTGTATTATCGCCTGATTGTGCTAAACTTACATATATATTTAAAATATGGCTTTAAGTGGTGTTTGTATATATATTTTTTCTTTTTTATATAGGAATTCGATACAGTGCTCCTGCCAGCTAATTTCTAAGTTGTTAGCTGCAAAAAACCTAGAGTTCTCAGGTGCCTAAGTAGCCCCTGGAATCATAGTTAAAGTTGCACTGCCGCCCAAACGTGAACTGGCCCCCCTGAATCAGACTAGACGTTCCCGATGCTTCTATGGCAAACCAAGCAGACGAGAGCACTCTGAGGAGTGGACGTGCCTCTCACACGGAGCATGAAGCCAGAGGGACAGAGTCATTTGATCTGCTTTATTTTCAGAATATTAAAAGGGTTGCTCCCTGTTCGGGATGGGATGAAAGTGAAATAAAAAAGAAAAGAAAAGAAAATGTTACGGTCTCTCTAACACAGTGCAGGAGAGAACACGGTCCTATCACCTCATCCCAATGCCCCAGGGATTGGCGCCCTGCTGCCTCCAAACGGGCACTTGACCACGGTGTGTCCTTGTTCTGGGCGGCAGCAAAGGTGCTCTGAGGTAGCAGCGTTCCCAGGACTGTTGGTCCACAGTTGGTCGTCAATTCCCGCCCCCCGGGGACAGGCGGTCAGTCGGAGGGGCTCTGGCATTCCTGGCAGTCTCTCATGTCCTCCGAGTAGTTCTCGATCTGGATGGTGGTGGTGTGGAAGTTGAACGCTCCTTGCAGTTGGGAACTAGCCTCCTTCAGGATGGTCTGTGCATCGGCGTTTTCATCTGGAACAAACACAAGCATGGAGGCTGGAGAGGTCACGTAATGGGGTAAAGACTTGGCCTTTGAGCCTGCCGGGGTGCACTAGCCGGGTCTGCCTAGCAGCGGCGGCTCCAGGCACCAGCGCTCCAAGCGCGTGCCTGGGGTGGCAAGCTGCAGGGGGCACCCTGCCGGTTCCTGCGAGGGCGGCAGTCAGGCCGGGGACCTCCCGCAGGCCTGCCGCCGAAGGCAGCCTGCCTGCCATGCTTGGGGCGGCAAAAAAGCTAGAGCCACCCCTGCTGCCTAGGCCAATCAGTTTGCAGGATCGGGGCCTTAAACTGTATAATTTGGGGGGCAGGGAATCACATTCTCTTATCGAAGCGAGACTACGCAAAACCCAGCCAAACCACAAAGGTCTCTTGGGGTGGAAACTTGTGCAAAGCCACCAAAAAAAAAAAAAAAAAAAAAAAGGCTCCAATTTTGTACTAAAGGATCATAAGCTTCTGGGTGAATCTAAGCAGAGCTCTGAGCGGGACGCAAAACCAGGCGAAGTCAGTGAAGCATTGCAGAATCTCCCATGATCCTCCACTTCCAACAGCTTTTCTGCCAAGAGCGCTTGACGCCTCCAAAGCGCATCTGCTTGGAACATGCTGCTCTACACCAAGGGTACGATCCAATACCACTGGAGCAACAGGAGCATTTCTATCAGGTCCTAAATGTGTGTGGTGTTGTTGTAGACACGTTGGTCCCAGGATATTAGGCAGACAAATGGATGAAGTAACATCTTTCATTGGACCAACTCCTGTTGGCTCGAAAGCTTGTCTCTTTCACCGACACAGTCCTGAAGAAGAGCTCGAAGGCTTGTCTCTTTCACCAACAGGAGTTGGTCCAATAAAAGATAGTCCCTCACCCACCTTGTCTCTCTAACGGGCAGGCAGGGCAGATACTTACTGATCGCTATATGGACTGACAGCACCGGGTGCGACACAGTCAGGGCCCAGATGTGGAGGCTGTGAAGGGCTTTCACACCATTGATGGACAGCAAGATCTCCTTCACGTTGTTAAAGTCCACCCCTTTTGGGGTACCTTCAAGACAGCAAGAGGCACACCGGGTCAGAGCCCCACATCGGCAGGAAAGGGAGGTACCCTGTAACCCACGGGAGAACATGCCACAGGGACGGGACCGGGTTAACCAGTCGTTCACTTAACTACCCTGCTCTGTAGAGCTCCTTACCTTCCATCAGCACTAGGACGACATCCCGGAGGATGGTCAGCGTCGTTCCAAGGACCAGGATTGAGAACAGGAAGGTACAGATGGGGTCTACGTATTTGTACTCTGGCTGGTAGGAGGAGGAAAGCTGTTACTCGGTATATTTAATGTAAAGCTCACAAATGCCTCCTACTCAAACAACTGCCCGTGTAATCTCATTACACAATGCTCAACGGTTTCCTTCCTGAGCTAAGTTCCAAATGAAAATTCCATTTTTCCTCTTGCAATTGCACCGTGTGTGGTGACCGCTGAGTGGATCACAAGCTAAGCAGAGGTGCAGCCCGGTCACTGCTCGGATGGGAGGCCTCCAGGGAACGGCCAGGTGCCAATAATTCAAAATGTTGCACTCTTTCCTCTGAGTATGAGCAAGTCTGCACCAGAAAGGGTTTGCCAGTGTAGCTCTACTGGCAAACCGTCCTCGTGTAGACGCAGTTTAGAGTGTCAAAAAAGTGCTTGTCTCAGGATCTCTTACCCGCTTCTTTGCCAGCATAACTGTACATGTGAAACTCTGAGCAGTATAATCATGTTGCAAATAAAAATCACATCCCTAAGTGACATTACTATGCTGGCAAAAAAATTCAGTATAGACCGGGCCTGAGTGTTGACCCAATGCCCCAGCATAGTGTCACCGGACCACCTGCCTCCTTTCTGATGAGAAGAGAAGCAGAGATCCTGACCACGTGTGGACAATAAGGATCCTATAGCACAGAGCTGGGGCATCAGCATTAGTGTCTCCGCTAAGTTCCAACTTGGACAGTACATCCCTGCATTCCCCTGAAGTTTCAAGTTCACAGAGAATCCCTCACTTCCTAGCCTACGTGGTTGTGCAGTGCGGCTAGGCAGCTGCTGCATGCCATTCCAGACGTGGCTGCATTTCTGTGGTGGGGGAAGTAAGTGAAATGCAATTAAAAAAAAATAAATCCATATATAATCTGTGTTCTGCCACTAACTTCCTCTGTGTCCTTGGCCAAGGCATTCAGGGAAACGAAGGCAGAGAGGTTAAGTGACTTTCTCAAGGATAGAGAAGGAATTACCAGCAGAGCAAAGATAAGAACGCAAGAGTTCCTGGCTCCCAGTTCTGTGCTCAGACCACACCTTCCTCCCACAGGAGTACCTCTTCCTTCCTCCACCCGGGACAGCACGCGTCATGCTCTGACTCCCATGCCACAACAAATGAAAGACACCCCGTACATCACGCAGCGGGGACTTACCAGCCTTCCGCGCCCAAGACACTCTTAGCAACAGAGCCCGTACCTTGAAATATATGATGTATGCAGCTACCAGGACGCCAACGCTCTGCAGCAGGTCCCCGACCACATGGATAAAGGCGGCCTGGACGCTGGTGTTCCGCTGCTTGCTGTGGCCATGGTGGGTATGGCCCTGGTGGCTGTGCCCATGACCCGACTGGTGAAGAGTGACTCCCATTCTGCAGGGAAAACCGGAGCAGCGAGGTCATCGAGCGAGGCACCTCAACCCACAGCCTCCTCCCCTGCCTTCTGCACCAACCGAGACAAGCCCTGCCTGCAGAGGGACAACGCTACCTTCCCTGCATCTCCCCATGCAGGGGGCGGTGCTAGGTTCCACATCGCTCGCTACCAGCTTCCGACCCAGACTGCGACATACACATCTGCTCTGGCCTGTATCCCTCTGGCTCAGTAACAGACAGCCTGGAGCCCTGACATAGAGGGAGGCTCAGATCCTCAATTCTATGCCCCACCGCGTGGGTCAACAGAACCCCAGTCTGGTAGTTCCCAGTAGAGGCAGAGGAGACAGCCCCCTTGGTGGCTCAGATTTTAGACACTAGCTCCAGGGAGTGGAGGGGGAAGGAAGAGGAGCACAGAGCCCTGCATGGCCACTTCCAAACTCACTTGCAAAATCCCTTCTGGCATTCTACCAACCAAGGGCCTGCCCATGCTCCCAGTGGAAATCAACGGCCAGACTCCTAGGGGCTTCCAACGGGAGCAGGATCGGGCCTCGGGAGACCGCTAATCCCGGGATTAATGGCCTGTTTGGACTGGCGGGCCTTTCAGATTGGCCAGAAGAAACATTCCAGTGTGAGGGATTAACCTTTGCAATTTGACCAGCAGTTAATGAACCTTCCCGCGCATGCACCCCCTCGCCCCAGAGCGTTCTCAGAGGAGCCGAGAGCCAGTGACCCGGCCGGACATACATGATATTCACCGCCACAGCGCAGGCGGAGGTGATGAGCATGGCGCCCCCTTCAATCTCATAGTTGTTTGAGAGCAGACGCTCCACTGCCAGGTAAACCAAGACTCCGGTCACCACCCAGATTGACAGCACCGAGAGCAGGGCCCCCAGGATCTCTGCAGAGAAAGCCCGGCCCACGCAGGGTTAGAGAGCCAGAAACGCACAGCAAATCCTCCTCCAGACACCCAGCCCTCACCACACTGGGGGACGGCAGCCACGGAGCCTCATGCAGGGACTTCTCGGCTTCACGGCCGCCTCCCCAGGGCCGCACAGATTCCCCCAGCCCCAGGGACTGAGAGCGGGGTTTGTGGTGAGCCGCGTCCGTTGGCCTTATGCAGCTCCTGCATCAGGGAAAATTGCAGCTCCTTTATGGTCCATATATACCACCGGAGCAGCATATAGGGGCTGGAGCTGGGAGGGGGTGCGGGGTGCAGAATTGACCCCTAAGGGCTGGTCTACATGGGGAAATATACTGGCATAGTTCTAGCAGAATAACAATTCTTCCACTCTAGCTATGCTGGTCCATTTCCCCAGATGGACTAGTCCTAAAGGAGTTTAACAATTCTAAGTCACACCCTCATTGTTAGATGCTTCTGATCCACCCCTCCCCTCCAGCCCCTCGGCTCGTCAATCATACCACCTTACCCTCCCCTCATGCCCACTACTGAAATAGAGCGGACGTGTCCTCTCGGAATTCAGCTCTCTGGGCAGTATACTCTCCCAGAATCGTTAAAGTGACACAACCCCTCTAGTGTGGTTGCAGTGACGCTGGTATCAAGGTGCGTACCCCGGTATCATTTATACCTGTAAGGGAGGGGGCATAAGAACAAGGTCTGCTCTACACAGATTTTGTACCAGTTTATTTCACTCAGAAGTGTAATTTTTAAACCGAGTTACTCTGGTACAGCTGCTGGTGTGGATGCAGTTATACCTTCCCCTATGGAAATGAGCTATTAGATAAGCACCTATATACTGGTAAAACTGCATCCATACTAAGCGGGTACCATTTTAACCATCCCAGGACAGTTAAAGCAATACAACTTTTGAGTTTAGACACGACCTAATGGGCCTTTACCCCAAGAGAGCTACACACGTGCGAGGAGCGGTACAGATTTAACTCTTTCAATTAAACGTCGCCTCCCCCAACTGAAATAATGATAGCAGCACGACACCTATTTACAGACCAGGCCTCAGTCTGCAAGCACCTTTCACAGCACTAGCTCAAGGTTAGGAAAAAATGAATGATGTCAAGATGACGACAGCAGAGAAACACCATGGAGATGGCTGGGAACGGAGAGGGGAGAAGGGGACTGGGTGTCTCACAAATGCCAAACGGAGAGACAGACAAAGGGAGACTGGCGATGGGAATGCGAACAGACCTTTAACAACTGCAGCACTAAAGGGCCTTTATAGGAATGTAGAGAACAAAGGCAGTTGGAGGTTTCCCCGCCACTTGGGCAGATAGTGGGGCTGAAATAAATCTACCCAGCACATGGGCTTTCGGCTGCTGCATTTCGCAGGAGGCTCTCCTTGGTTTCAGCAAAGCCCTTCCCCTGGTTAGAACTGCAGCTAAGCGATGAGCGAACTCTACCTTGGGCGGGTGGTCCTCAGATGGAAGTTAACAGGGGTGGCCCTTAAAGGAGGGAGGGAATTACTGTATCCAAATACCAGGTCAGAAGAAGGGAAGGGGAACAGCCCATTCCAGCAGGAGTGCCGCGGGGCTGGTTACAACTGGACCCAACGTGATGGGGAAGTACTTGCTGCCAGAAGGACCCAGTGGCTCAGCATGGGTGTTCGCTGGGGTAGGGTCCCACAGGGGTCACTAATGATCTTAGAGCCAGAGATGCCAACGATCCGGGAATAGTGGATCCCCAGGGGCAGCCAAAAGGGACAATCACAAGCCTCAGCTGCTCGGGGGACTCCGGAGTTAGCAAACAGTTTGCACTTGGAGCTACTGCAGTAGAGCCGCAGATGATTTCTGTGCATTCAGGTGTGTGCACCGCAGGGTTGGGTCTGTTGGATCCCAGTTCTTAGCCTGCATTGGCTGGATGGGACTTGTGTGGGATCCCGACATCTTCCCCATCCCCCGCTGCTCTGCAAATGTCCCTCCCTCCCAGCTCCATTCAAGAGCCTTTGCAAACCCCACACCAAGGACGCTCCCTTCCTTTCAGATAACCCCAGCAGCCGAAAGGAGCATTGTTAGATGTCACCACACCCAGTGTTGTTCTTCCACTGAGCACCTGGGCTTCACACCCTGCCCTGCCGGGGAACCCACTCAGCAAGTTACCTGCTCGGTGCCAGCCAAAGTTCATGGTTTTGGTAGCCGGCCGCGAGGCCATCCACAGGGAAAACAGACTGATCATCATGCTGGCGAAGTCCGTGAGCAGGTGAGCGGCGTCTGTCATGATGGCCAGGCTGTGGGCCAGGTATCCCCCTGAAGTCGTGGAGGAGAAAGAATGAGTCAGTGAAAGGTTGGAAGCCCCCAGCAGCACCAGCGCTGCCCCTATGCCCTTCACAGATGGGGCACACGACCGGTGCCGAGGAAACCCTGAAAAAAGATCAGAGTCCATGTGATGGCAGGCTCCCCAGACCAGAGGGGCTCCCGGTTATAACCAGAGCCTGCTGCAAAATACTCATCTGGGTTTTCTGTCCCAGCAGAACCCCTGGTAGCTGGAGCCTGCCCTAGTGCCAGCAGTGGGGCTATGAGCTGTCTGTATCCCCCCCATGGCCCCACGCTAAAGGTGACTTTGAGACAGCTATGTACTTCAGCCTCAGCTATCGTGCTGTTCACCCAGCCACTCTAACCCAGGGCCCAATTTTGCCCCATGGCAGTTTTTGCCACCAATTTCAATGGGCTTAAGATCAAGGCCCTAAGGTTTGATCCTACCAAGTGCCCACCTTGCAGGACCAAGCCCGCACACAGATATACAATTATATTTTAGGGATTAGCTCTTTGAACAATTAAATGCAACCACTTCTAGGGCAGACCGCAGCAGCTGTTTAACAGCCACACATAACAGTTCAGGGAGGAGGTAGCAAAGAATCTCTTGTCCTATCTAGCTGTTCCAGCACCTTGGCTCTTACCAGGCAAGGAAGCCATACAACATAGGCTACTTTGGCGTCTTACCTACGACTTCTCCGGTCATAAAGACCAGGCAGATCACGGATGCGATGTAGAGTTTCCTTCGAGCCCGCTGCTTTTCGGAATCGTAGTGGCTGCCAGCAGCCCGGTTGGAATGACAATGCTGGTTCCCCGGGAGGCCCAGCTCAATGGAGGACACGTCTGGAACGTACTTGAGCATGGAATTGCGAAAGTTCTTCTCGGAGACGCTCAGATAGGACCTGAATGACAGAGAGTCACCATTACTGACCACTCTTGGGAGCTGCTGGCTGAGACACTAGGGGAGAGGGGGAAGGAGATTTCCAATTGAAATTAAAATGATGCCCCTTTGTACCCAAGGCCCTTCCCTTCCAACCACCCCCCCCAAAGGAAACGTGCCCCAGGTTTTCAAGAGAAGCTAGGGACTTTTGGGTGCCTACCTTGAGATGCCCAATTCTCAGACAGTGCTGGAGCATTCACCCTCTGAAAGCCAGACCCCTTGGCGCCATCTCACGTTGGGCACCCCAAAATCACCAGTCACTCTTGAAAGCCCTGGCCCGAGCCTAGTTAGTCTCCCCTGCTTGAAAACACCCCTCCATCCAGGGAGGAATGGAAGCTCTAAAGGATGAGATTCCCCATCCCTTCCTTCTTCCACCCGTCACTCAATCTCTGCCCTGGAAGCCCTCCTCTTCCCCCCTTAGCACTGTAAAGGAACCACAGTTATTCCAGCTGTAGCCCCCATTTCCAAGTTTCCCCCAATAAGGGGCAGCACATGGAGGCAGTGGATTGGTTTGGTCTCCCAGACCAAATTACTGGGGGGCCCTTCTGGGTCACCCCCAGAAGGGCAGAGAGACGCCAGGGAAACTGTTCAGCTACCTCCCAGCCAGAAGCAGGTGCCCTGGAACCCAGATCCTCAAAGCTATGTAGGTGCCTAATGCCCATGGGCATCAAGGGGAGTTGGGCACCTAAATACCTTTGGAGGTCTGGGCCTGGCGGCCTGGAATGGGGGGAGAGGAGGCTGCAGCCAGGCTGGGCTCTCTCCCTGGGATCCCACAGTGCATGGGGGAGACAGGCCAGCCCAGGAGCTGCAGAGCTGGGCTGGGGGGAGCACTGAGATCCCTTGCAAGAGATGGGGGAGATACAGGGGACAGTGCTATGGGGGAAGGAAGGGGGCTGGGGTTTGTTACTGGGAGGAGGCTCAGAAGCGGGGTGCGGGGGGAATACAATTGCCCCATGGAGGAGGTAACTGAAGGGGAAGAAATCGCCCCTCACCTGTCTCCGGGCACCTCCAGCAGGTGCCGCTTCTCCTCCCCGTCCGCCATCCCCACCTGCCGGGGCGCGCTCGGCTCCGGCTCCAGCTCCCCTCCGAGGGTCCCCCTGCTCCAGCCACCCCCCGCGCCGGGCTCGCAGCTGCCTCTTTATCTGGCCCCGGCCGCGGCCCGTGTGAAGCGCTGGGGACTCGTGTGCAAAAGGCCCGGCGGGGGCGGCGAGCTCTGGCCAGGCCGGCTGCAAACTTTGCAGAGCTGCCTCCCGGGGCCGGGCACCCCGGCAGCCCGCCCGGCGGGGAGCCGAGAGAGCCCCCGGCCGGCCACTCCCGTGCGCTCCGCGGGGCGCATTGCGCCTGGAGAGGCTGCGCGCCTCCCACCGGGACGGCGAGGGGGTTCCCCCCGCCGGGCCCAGCCCTGCCTGGGGGAGAGGGTCTGGCCATGCACCCCCATGGCATGCTCCAGCCCCGAGTCTCCCAGCCCAGCCTCCCCCTTCTCGGAGCGAGGGATCGGGAATGAGAAGGCAGTGATCCCGCTGCCCCAATCCCCCCTCCCGGTGTGAGCCATGGGCCGAGGTACCGCCTCCCATCCGCCCCCCGCTGGAGCCTGGCTCACTCCACGGAGCAACTGAGAACTCGACCCGCAGCAGGAATGCGAAGCTCGCTGGTTCCCCAGCTCCATCCTGTCCCGACATCTGGGCGCCCAGGCAGCAAGACTTCCATAGGGCAAACTTAAAACCTCCTGCCACATAGAACTCCAGGAGCTTAGCAAACTCCGAGCCACGTGTGAAAGATCTGAAATCCCTCAACAGTTCCTGCTGCATCCCCCTTCCCCACACCTTCGCCCCCAGTGCCAGGAGGAAAAAGGAATGGGAAGCCTCCTTGGAACAGTTTAATGGATATCTGCTTTGAAATCGATTTAGTTGAACCAGTGCAAACCCCTGTGTGAACCCTCTTAAACTGGTTTTGAACCTGCTTCCTTTAATTGAAGTGATTTAAATGAAGGTGGTTTGAATTTAATTTAAAGCTTGTTTAAACTAAGGTGGTTAGAGTTTAAAACTGGCTTGAATGTAAACGGGATTAAATCCATTCAATAGCGTCCACATGGGTTTCACTAAATCAGTTTAAAAGCATATCTTTAGTTAAACGGGTGACACTTTTACTAGAGACAACCCTAACAGTAACAGTGGTAGGGCTTTTGGGATATTCATGTAGCCATCCAATGTAGCTTGTGTTTGAAATGTACTGGTTTTTGGCCATGATCCTGCAAAAACGTATGCTTGTGAGTAACATCTGTTGAGTTCAGTAGGACCAACTCACCTGCATAAAATGACTTGTGTCTATAAGCTTTGTAGGATAGGGCCCTGGACTGTAAACTCTGGAGCACAGAACCCCTTTCCTCTATCAACTGTACAGATGCTGCTCAATAAATAAGTGATCTCCTCAGGAGCGGCGCCAGGGTTTTTGCCGCCCTAGGCGGCAGCGCTCCTCCTCTGAGCATTCGACGGTGGGGGTCCTTCCGCTCCGTGTCTTCGGGGCACTTTGGCGGCGGGTCCCGGAGCGAGTGAAGGACCCACCGCCAAATTTCCACTGAAGACCCGGAGTGGAAGGACCCCCACCGCCAAATTTCCGCAGAGGGCGGCAAAACGCCGCACCTCAAATCCTGCCGCCCTAGGCGATTGCCTAGGGTCGCCTAATGGAAGCGCCGGCCCTGGATCTCCTCTAATGTATCTTGGGGGTACACAAAGAACCAATGTGCTCTTTGTAACCTCCCTCTATGTCAAGCTCTTTGGCTCTGTTTACAGTAGGAACATGGTCTAAGAATTCTTCACACAACGCACAGTCAACCTGTGGAACTCCTTGCCAGAGGATGTTGTGAAGGCCAAGACCATAACAGGGTTCAAAAAAGAACTAGATAAGTTCATGGAGGATAGATCCATCCAGAGTCGTCCCGTCCATAGGGCAGAACGGGGCAACCACCCCGGCCCTGTGCTTTGGGAGGCCCCGCGCTTCAGGAGGACGTGGGGGTGGGCCCAGACACAGGCCTTCCTTCCCCCGGTCCCTGGAAGAGACAGCTCGTTTGCCCTGGGAAGGGCGGTAGGGGCTTGATTGAACATAAGAACATAAGAACGGCCGTATTGGATCAGACCAATGGTCCATCTAGCCCACTGTCCTGTCTTCCGACAGTGGCCAATGCTAGGTGCTTCAGAGGGAACGAACAGAACAGGTAAACATCTAGTGATCCATCCCCTGTCACCTATTCCTAGCTTCTGGCAAACAGAGGCTAGGGCACCATCCCTGCCCATCCTAGCTAATAGCCATTCATGGACCTACCCTCCATGAACTTATCCAGTCCTTTTTTGAACCGTTATAGTCTTGGCCTTCACAACATCCTCTGGCAAGGAGTTCCACAAGTTGACTGTGCATTGTGTGAAAAAATACTTCCTTTTGTTTGTTTTAAATCTGTTGCCTATTAATTTCATATGGTGGCCCCTAGTTCTTGTGTTATGAGAAGGAGTAAATAACACTTCCTGATTTACTTTCTCCACACCAGTCATGATTTTATAGACCTCTATCATATCCCACCTTAGTCATCTCTTTTCCAAGCTGAAAAGTCCCAGTCTTATTAATCTCTCCTCATATGACAGCCGTTCCATCCCCCTAATAAGTTTTGTTGCCCTTTTCTGAACCTTTTCCAATTCCAATATATATTTTTTGAGATGGGGCGACCACATCTGCATGCAGTATTCAAGATGTGGACGTACCATGGATTTATATAGAGGCAACATGATATTTTCTGTGTGTGCATCAGTTATTAGATCTGCTGTGTGTGAGGGGTGTCTGTCTGTGTGTGTGTATGCATGCATCAGTCATTAGATCCAGGGTGTGTGTGATATTGGATTGTGTGTGTGTGTGAGTGTGTGCTCGTGCATCAGGAATTAGACCCGGGGTGTGTGTGATATTGGATCGGGGTGTGTGTGTGTGCGTGTCACATTGAACACGGTGTATTTGTGCCTGCATGTCTGAGTGTGAGCTCGTGTGCACAAGCAGACCCACGACACATCCTGGCTCAGCCAGCCGGGCCATTGCCGTGGGCCCCGAACTCGGGGAGCGGTGCCCCTGGCAGGGCAGTGTGGCGGCGGCGGCAGCAGGAGAAGGAGGGGGAGCACAGTGAAAATATTTTCCATGTCTTTGCCTGAAGTCATTCTGGGATTTCTGAAAAAAACGTGCTGTACATTTTCAGGGCTGCGTCACGAGGGGCCAGGATTACGACTAGCCCACTTTCCTTCATTGACTCAGCTTGTGTGAAAGATCATTATTCATCCGGAGGTCAAACCATGCTAAGAACTTTCCACTAGTACAAACCACAGATAAGACCGGATCTACTTTATTGTGACAAAGTGCAACATCAACCCTAATAAATCTCTTGTGAGTTAGGACTATGCATTGCAATGCAGAACTTTCTCTTCCGCTGCCTCTTTCTAGTTCCCACAAAACCCTTTCTTGTTGCTAAAGTTACTTCTGTCTGCCAAGGTCTGGCACTCCCCTCAGTGTATCCCCTACAGGTTGCAAAGAAGCTCTTTAATTCCCAGAGTCAACATCTTCAGCGCACAACGAACTGGTAGGTAAAGGAGTTTTCTTTTCAAAATACACAAAATTCAAAGTCCTGTTACAATTATATACAAAATAATAGAACAATATAAAATGTACGAAATATTCTAATTTGCACCCATGTATAAAAGTGAGCTTCTATGTGCTTCGGTCAAGTTTTCATCCTGAGTTAGCAATACTGTCGTATGGCCAGGTGGTGCCTGACCTTTTTTTCTTCAGCTGGGACCCCGGCCCACCCCTCCTGTAGCTCCCACGAAGTCAGAGCGTTTGCCCCCACCCCATTGCCCCCAATCACTCATCCACTCTGCACTTGGGGAGTTTCTTCTGGCTTGGGAATTGCTTCTGCTC